GCCTTCACTTTTCAAGGCCCAAATGATCTCTCAAAATGGTTTTCATTGATCTTTCCCATATTCCACCGATAGAAGTAAGATTTCTGACTGGTAATTGTCGAATCTCAAACACAAAAACCTTCATATATTGACGCGCTGATCATATTTGCCCACGACAACAATTATCACTGGATGCCCTCTCCGAAAGTCTGTACGTTTCGGCATCAAAAATTTCAATTTCAACTTCTTAGTTGAATAATTTCACTTATCTATCTTAGTCACAATGTTATGAATAAAACACGCTCTCTCATCTTCATTGAGATAACTCACAGTTTGGCMGGTATGTGCGGTACAAAGTCAAGTCAGTCGTAAGTTCGCAATATGGGGCCTAAGGGAAGTATTGATCCGAACCAACCCATTTTCGACATAAAGACAAACCATTATCAGAGAAGAATTTTCCTTTAATTTCAATTACATATGYCGCATATTGACCGATATTTTCGAACAAAAGTCAACTATAGGTACCGGGGTCCAAATATTCGGTGCCTGAGCGCTTGACCAGTTTTCGATGAATTAAAAATATTTTTGAATATAAAGTGGCACGCTCTTAAAACATTATTTGTGCGAAGGTCTATCCCGTTATATTAATTGTTTCTTGATTTATATGTATTGGAAATTGAACGAATCATTGTTATATGGGAAGTAGGCGTGGTTGTAGTCCGATTTTGTCTATTTTCACATTGTAGCATAAGAATTTTAGAATATTGATATATTACTAAATTTYGAAATTGGTTGGTCGGGTCCCAAGATGTGGGATTTTASCAAAAAGTGRTCGGTGCCACSCCCATCGTCCATTTTTCACACCAGCTCCCTTAAAGCTTTCTCATACCTTCTCGGTGGTAAAATTTAATGTCTCTGGCTTATTAAGTTACTGATTTATCGCGCGTTTATGTATGCGTTATTAATATGTTTCTATTAAATTTTATTAAGCCATCAACAACTCGCTCTATTTCGCAATAAAAGCACTAGAGCAACGGAATTAATTTTATGAGACGTTGGTAATTCGTGAATTATAGCCATCACCAAACTATTTCCGGGATAAATTTATTTGATTTTGTCGACTTATTTTTCACAGTGACCATTATTAAGAAAACCAAAAGTATGAATTCCCTTATTATAATTGTTGGTTCCAGGGCACGATGCGAATATTTCTCTTATAATAGCTCATGCTCAATTTAAAAATAGGTTTCTATGCAATCCTATCGTTCCACCTCTACTAAKAGATTAGAGTTTGGAGCATAACCGTTATATGGGGGTGGCGCAGTCATTATCCGACTTCATTTATTTTCACACTGTGCGGTAAACTTATAAACGCAAATGTGTCCAGGTTGTTTATTTTAGATTTATTCTGTTGTGAGATATGTCAATACAACTTAGTAAGGGGCGGTCCCGAACCCACTTTTCAATAATTTTTATCTCACAAATGTCGTCCTACACTGTGATCCTCCATTCCAAGTTTTTCATTACTTAATTTTTGGCTTAATTATATTAGTTACCCATTTCTCTGCAATGCATTTTATGAGGATGGTAATGGTCGGATTACGCCATCGACCACGCAATCTGTGTTCCAAGAAACAGGTGCAAAAAATTTCATAATCATTGTTTGAATTATTACTTAAGTTATCATAATACCTTCGTTTTTACTGCAAATCAATGACCGATCAAAATCAAGTTCTTTCAAAGGATATGTATTATGTGAAGGGGATTATAGCTTCTATGCAACCGAGATTAGCTTTTTACACAAATTTTTTTTCTGCGCCCCCGGAACTCTCAGGATTTGACTTCCAGAAAATTATATAACGTAAACAAGATATTTAATTTCACTTGAWAAAATATTATTCTACATATTACACAATTTTGAGCTATGTCAGTTGCCCCTTGTATATGCATACGAATCAGGCAACTGGTGTACAACCATACCTTAAACTTGTAGATGAATGCTTTTATGGAAAAACTCAATAAAACTATATGTGTGTATTGGAGTAGATATATTTCACTAATGCAAAAAGATCAAAMAATCAGCGAAACAAATCAACTTGGGAAATAACAGCCACCTTAATATGTGTACATATATATATATGTATACTGGCAAGTAGTGATGTAAAAGATTTTATCTACTGTATATGAAAGAAAGGAGTATGCACATGTGTGTAATATTTTTTAATTTCTTACTCACTTTGGAATTTGGTGACCACTTTGTGGCTGCTATTGGTGTGAAGTGTAGCTCAGAACTGCCAACGTTGCCACTTCCGCCGCCGCCACCACCGCTGTTGCTACTGCCGTTGCCGCTTCCTCCGCTGCTGCCACCACCACCGCCGACGCCATTACTATTGCCAGCCGTAACTGTTTAATGGCAATTTATTGGCATTTGTTCATTTATTTGTTGGTCGGCATTCGAACCGCGATCGAAGTTGGCCAATCGTCCGGTCGGTTTGTCAATTCGGATTGTTGATGTGACRAAGTGGTAGTAGATAGTTTGCAGAATTCGCCAGTTGGTTTGCAGAATGTTTGTCGCACCACGTATGTATATGTGATTGGGTGTTGAATATTGCAATTTGTTTGACATTGCATTTATAAAAAAGTTGATGAAATCGAAATAAAAGACAAACGAATAAATTACCTTTCAAAATGTATTTATGGGTTTAGTAAAATGATTGGTAGAGTTAGTTATAGTTAGTTTGGAAAGTACAGTGATAATTTGGAGCACTCACGAGTTGATGATAGAGAAGCGAGACGAATTTGCAGATAGAAGAGAGAGGCCGAAATAAGTGAGTAAGAAGAGCTTGACAAGCTGGCAGGCAGGGGTAATACTCGAAAATTCTACGAAATGATGCTTCATCTAACAGAAGTTTTCAAGACCGGAGCATACTCTTGTAGAACCCCATGAGGGGATTTAGTAACCGATGCCAAGAGCATACTGAAATTATGGAGGGAACAATTCTCCAGCCTGCTGAATGACAGTGACAGCATTACAGCACACTTAAATTCCAGTAGTTATATACTTATATAATATTATATAATGATAGGCCAAAGGTTTTCCTACCTGTAGACATTTATTTACAAAAGTCATAGCAATTATGCATATGTATGTACATAAGCATATGTGAATATATATACTTATATATGGAATTTTTTCAARATCTAACTGCCATATTGCCACGTTTATATCGCAAATTATTTTTTACGTGTATTGTTGTTTATTTAGATGTCAAAACTAACGCTAGAAATGATTCACTAGCATTATCCAAGTTCTCATGCAATCGCGAAAAATGCAATAGGTCACATAAAGGTCAGTCGTAAAACAATATATTATATATATATTATATATCAAGAAATTCGAATAGCAATTACCCGTCTGAAGCACAACAAAGTGCCGGGGGTCAATGGATTGCCGGCTGAGCTATTCAAATACGATGGCAAAGAACTGATAAGGAGCATGCATCAGCTTCTTCGTAGAATATATATACAATCTGCGCCAACCACCGGGGGGATAACCCTACTCAACATCGRATATAAGGTTCTATCGACAGTATTGTGTGAAAGATTAAAGCAACAACTGACCAGATATTCACAATGCGCGAAATCTTGGAAAAGAGCCGTGAAAAGATAATCGACACTCACCACCTTGACAGCACGAAAGGGAGCCGACTTCATGCAGCAATGTCTAAATTTGGTATCCTCGCAAAACTAATAGGACCTCTTCGCGAAGTGCGATAACAAACGAGGTTTCAGACAAGTTGACTCCCTTTCATGCGACAAGAAGAGACCTTCGCTCCGTGGGAAAGACCAGGTGCAGAAGGAGCTGGCTACATTTAGAATCTACAATGTCTCCAAGCAGTGAAAAGTAAGAACGCCTGGCGTGCTGTTGTAAACTACTTCTAAGAAAGCATTGAGGTTTTAGATTTAACCGCCTAGAATAGTGAATGCGTTCCAAGAAATGGAGTTATTGAATGATAACTGAAAATTTATTTTTGAAACTCTGAAACTATTGTAGTTAAATTATGGACAGATTTTTGTCAAAATTGTTGTTTTATTAGCACTTCGTAGTTTAGCAAATCGCTGCTGAAAAATGTGAAATATCAACATTATAGGCCCAATTGGTTCAATGAAATAACCGTCTTTGTTGTCCATCAGATTTTTCTGTAAGAAGCAACAACATTTCTGAAAGAAAATACAGCTTTTCTCAAACGGAATCATACAACAATTTTTACTAATACAAAATATTTTGAACTGACTTGAATTTTGTGCATAATAATCTCTATTTTTTTGTTCTGCAGCCTCTAAATACTCACTACACCTAGAATAATCTTAATTTAATATGCGCACTGTCAGGTCATCTACACTCAACATTTCAAATATAATTTTCTCATTAATTTCCACTCACCGTATTGGGATGGTATAACATCCGGATCTCGTTCATCTTCCACCAGATCTTCGGATGATTTAGTTTTAATGTCCGTATGCTGCCAACGCGGTTTTTCCATGCCACCGCACTGCGCGTTTGAGAAGATTTTTTTATTTATATGTATTTTTCATAAAAGCGGTTAGTTGCGGAAAAAAGAGAAGAAGAAATGAAAGTGAATTGAATATCGTTATCGGCATATCTGTGTTACTACGGCAAGTTTCACTGAGATAAGCACCGAAGGCAAATAGACCAACGCCACCCATTCGCGGCACTCACCTTCAGCACATCGCCAGCCTGCGCTGCCACACCGGTCGCTATAGGTTTGCTGCTGTGCTGCTGATTGCGTCGCAAATTATGCAAAAATGTTACAATGAATATGCGCACAATGATGGCCAAACTAATGATGACAACGGTAAGACCACTGCCAACCAGCACCGGCGACAGCGTAATGGATACATCATCTGCTGCCGCACACGCGTTGAGAGACGACAATGCGTTGACGGTTGGAGATTCCGAAAAAAAAACGAGCCATACAAGACAGAGATTTATACATATAAATATGAATTTGGGATTTTAGATTTTGTTTGTTTTTTAATTTGTTTTATTTTTATTTTTTATTTTTTTTTTTTTGTTTTTTTTTTTTTTTTGTTATTGCGCGGCCACAGTGTTGAATGGCAAGCAGATGGTGCATTGAAATTGTTGTTATTTACGCAAATTGTGTGCATTTGTAGAAATATAAAGTTTTTTTAATTTSATTTCGTTTTTTATTTTTCCATAGTCCATCCATTTTGTTTGTTTGTTTGTATTTTGTTTATGSCAGATTGTTTTCAAATTTTGTTTATTATTTGCGCCATATTTATTTTTAATATTTCAAATGTTCCATTGTTGTTGTTTTGTTGCATTTTTATGGAATATATAAAAAAAATTTTTTTATTTCCGTTTTATGTCAACAAATAATAATTCATAAATGCGCCCGTCGTGCCGTCATTAATGCGCCAAGCACGTACATTTAACGGGAATTCAAGCAAATCCAGTTCATATTTTCATGCATTTATAGTACGTTGTTGATTTCAATAACCGGTGAAAGGAGACCGTAAAAAATAAATAAAGGAGATCAGCACAACATGGATATTGAAATTGATTTATTGTCTTAAATGGTTAGTCTATATATATTTTTGTGGTTTGAATGTGTTTATATAATTAGCATTACTTGATATATAATATATCACATAACTTATATACATATTTCTAGTCTTAAATAATTACTGGGGTTTTCTGTGTATATATACGAGAATTAGGTTTACAGCTCTTACAAAATAATCGCTATATAAAACTCTTACTTCACAGATTTTGATTTAAACTATATATAGTGTACTGTATATAATACATTTCAAACTCGATTCATTTCAATTCCATGAAACTTTTCATATTTGAAATCAATTAGCTTACACTCTGTTGTTCTCTGTCTTCCCACTTGGTTTGAAAACCTCAAATATTATTTACACTGCTCTCTAAGCGACGAAATGAATACTTCCGTTCCAAAAAACGTTACAATTAAATTCATGCAGATTCCAACGAATTAGACCACACTGAAATTCATCGGACACACGACCGAACACGTCCTTACTACTTGAAATATACTTTTTAATATTGCAGTATATTTTTTTAACTTTTGTACATAACAATATTTTTGAAGGTGCTATGGCCTTTCCAAAATGCATTTCTATAAAACCAAGAAAATATGTTAGCACCGGCTGCACTGAGGATATTATACCTTCTACAGGAGCTTTTTTAATAGCATAAAAGGGTATGAAAAGATCTTTACTTGATTTTSATCGTTCAGTTGCAATGGSAGCTATATGCTATAGTTGTCCGATRTTGGTTGTTTCGACAAATGAGCAAAGGAGAAAATTTCAGATCATTACCTCAAAAACTGACGGACTAATTCGTTTTTATTCAGACGAACAGGCGGTCATTGGCAAATCGACTTAGCTGGTCCCATTATTCATTTATATATACATATGTTATGTATCTTACTCGTATAGTGGATCCGTCGTTTTCTTTTGAATGCTATAAGCAGCATGGCAAACTGCCCCTCTCAGGTTATAAATATCGAAAGGTCTAGTGCTAAAACTTATTGTATAGTTAACTGTTATATTCACTGAATAATTAATAAGCAAKACGAGCTAATTTGCTTAATTCGTAGTCTCAGCCATTCGAGACTTTATTTTTTGACATAAATCCCAAAAATTTGTTCGTTAAATTCTATTAAACAGCTAGGACATAACTTTTTTTAGACAGCGCAGTTGTACCGGAATAATAAACCACCAGTGGTTTAACATTTATAAATTCAAACATGCCCCCCTGATATCTCTTTTCAGATTTATTATTCAGCTTCTTTAGAATTTTTTTCACATTTTACTAATTTCAAAATCCACTGCTCTAGTTTGTAAAAGTCGAGTCTGCATTAAGTTCTGCATTGATGTGATTATCTGATTATATGAAAATTTTAGATGATGTTGGTTTGAACATAATACAAATACAAGCGTGGTGTTTGCTTTTCATGAGCGTAGATTAAGTTAGGCTATGTAATAGTTCAGATTCTTTTGCCAAATACTACGAAGGATATAACTTGGATAGATATGAACTTTGTATAGCTGTGTTCCCCAAAACAAATATATATAGATTGAAAATACTCTTAAATTGAAGAAGYGCTCTGAGGCTATTATCTTAAGGCGCTTAATAATAATTTGATCTAATTTACTAGGTTTGGAATAAATGCATACTTCTCGGAAAGAAGCAGTTATCCCTAGCCAGCTGCMACCTCTGCAGCGTAGTGAAAGACTCAATATATTAAACCTCTTTATTACCTTTGCCTTCGTTTATTTTCAAAAAGAGTAATTGAGATTTCCGTACGAGACTCCAAACATTAGATGGGATAATAATGTATGTGGTTACATGAATGAGACAATGATAACCCATTAATGTTGTAGGAAAATATTTGGCCACAACAACCCCTCCGTTAGATCTGCTTTCTCCAAACTGAAAAAGAAAGCGAAGCCTATGGGTCTGGTTGTGAACGAGGACAAGACGAAATATCGACATTGTAGACAGTCWCAACTTTAAAGTCGCAGATAATTTCGATAAACGGTTATAAGGATCTGCTATACCGAACTCTGAAACAAATTCGACACTCAATTAGAAAAAAAAAAAATTACTATTTTTTGCGCGATTTCTATTTCCAAACTTGAAGGCCAGGAGTTTGAGTGTAGAAAGTCGCAACAGCGGTTTCTTACACAATATACCCATTCGTTACGATTTCGACTTGATATCCTACCCTCGGTCAACTGGTCATCTACTGACAACGCGCTTGAAGTAAAAGGCTAAACGGATATTAGATATTAACTGAAAAAGGGTGACTAGCGTTCAACGGCCCCAAAAGTATTCTTTTTATAGATGAAAAAAAGTTCAGTGTTTAAAATATTTTTAATAAATAAAATGACAAAATCTACACAAAACTTATAAAAATGCAAAAAAATTTATTCTATGGGCCAATGTTGTGGCACCATTTAACTGCTATATTGGTTTGGTGCGGACTCTTTTGTAAAAGTGTTACAACTATTAACTTATGTACCAGCGAGATTATTTAGAAGGTATGGAAAGCATTTACGCAATACTTTTTTCGATTGTATTTTCAAGCAAGATTCTGCTCCAGCAAGAAATATTCCAGGTGAGATAGCTGCAGTTGGTTGACTTTCTAATAGTCCAGATTTGAGTCCATTGGACAACGRTCGTCATCAATTTTAATAGCTGCTATTGATCATTGGCCAAATCCTTTGCGGGCTTATGTAAAAGCAAATGTGAACCTTTTCGAATAAGCTCTGGTACAACGCTTATTTAATACATCCATTATTAAGTAAAATGAACTTTGTTAAAAATTATGATTTAATTTTTATAACGGCCTATACTTGCAACAGTACTTATAGCAATACTAATTATACTAGAGAATATAAAAGTACTTATAGCAATACTAATTATACTAGAGAATATATAAGAACTCTTTTGTTCTTATTTTACCATTTCGAAGTTGTTCTGACTTCGGAAATGAATTGCGAGCTCAGAGAACAAATAAGGCCGCACAAGGGATTACACGGAGGATTTTTTTTTTTTTTTTTTTTGTCAAAATGTTACAACTAAGCGAAAAACCATCAAGATAAAGAAAAAATTAAAAAGGTCATACAAAAAAATAACACATACGAACGCCAAACCCTTTGAGGGTTTTACTATACTGACCTAGTACCATCACTCTGACTTGGAATTTCTCACCCCCCAGATAAGCTGTTGTACTGGCGACTTACACTATTTATGTATTATTCTTGTAAGATCTTAAGGCACTGACAGATTTGATATGTATATAGGATAGCTTCTTGTACATATTAATCATCGAAGTGATGAGACAGAATATAAACACTGCAGTGTCACAAGAGCAGCAGGCAAATATATCGATATACTTTAGGTAATCGATAAAACGCTAGTATCTGTATATACTAAAATAAAWACAACAACAACTTAAGTTTAAACAAGTATACAAGTAATCAATAGAAACTTAACTTAAAAGCTTTGCTCTCACAGCTCATGACTTTCGGCTTAGCAACAACAAAAGCATTCACTTATTATACGCTACCAATACAACAATAGCACTAACATTGATATTTGTTTGGCGCACACTCACCTGATTTGTATGCTGACGAGCCAATAATGAAATCCGACAGCAGATACAAAGGACTACGGCCCTTCTGATTGTAAGCATAAATACGCARTTTCAGAGAGTTGTTCTCCTGTGTCATCATTGATGTCAATGTATCGAGATTTTCCAGAGAAAACTGTGGCTCCTCAATGTTGGTCAAATTAAATCTGCAAAATAGATGAAAGAAGCAAAATACATAAATTCATAAGCATGGCAAAGCACATAATTATTGTGGTGAAAACGAAATGGGGAAAACGAAATTAAATGGTACAACAACAAAAGAGTGTAGTGTGTTATTGTATGCGRCTTATATGTGAGTGACTGCGGATAAAAGCAGCAACAAAACCGTTTACAGTTGGCTTAAGCTTAAGCTAAATTTAAAATGCTCGTAGGCCTCTCAAAGCTGAACGCATAAGCTCTTAAGCGTATACATACATGCACATACACAAGCTTACACCACAATKGGCATGTGTGCCTACTTAGCTGCCCTTTTATGCACCCATTCGATTGCCTTTCATGGGCGTTTCGATTATTTCGCACTTTTGTGTATTGCGGCACATTTTTGAAATGTTAGAAAGTCATTCGATTAAATGTCATTTAAATTGAACATGAAACGGTACATATATACATGGGTGTGTATGTAGATGGCGTGCGTAACCATTGACGGTTGCGAGTGTAGGCGTGGTGTGCGTGGGTGTATGGGTATGCGTGATCGCAGCAAATGCCAACTAAAAATTCGCTTCACACATTTGTGCAAAGATGCTTACGCGTTTACTTATGCATAATCCTTTTTTCGTGCGCCGATTCAGAGACCCACATTCATTGCGCATTATGTGCTTGTTTTCGCAACGACATTTCGCAGCACAATTTTCATTTTAGTTTCTCTCACTCTATTTTGTTGCTTTTTCATTTTACTTAGTTTTTGTTGTTTTTGCATTACCAGCAATTTAATTTTCATGCTTTTCGTACAATTTTCGCTTTAGCAGTTTTGTGTGTCTCTAGCTTTGCGCTCTATATACACGAATATATGTACGTACTTAWGTATGTCGGTATATTTACTTGACCTTATTTCTTTGCCAAATGTACATATATGCCACGTTATACTATATACATATATATACGCAGAAGTTGTTCGGCACTATAAATAGAATATCACATAATTCCAATAACGAGTAGAATTCCCGCTTTGAAAAGCGGGCAAATAATTCGTTTGTGTGCACAATGTGGAAAGTGTGTGTGTGTGTGTGTGCGTGGTAACGGCAAAAAGGTACGTAATAAAATTTCAAAAGCGCGCGCACACACACACAGACGAAGCCGCACACATGAGGCGGCATTAAAATATAAAATATTGCGTAYACGCAGTGGCTAGAGTTGCAAATAGCAATCACACTACCATTCAATCCTTTAAAAATATTGAAATTGGTTTGGTTACTAGCCTTTAACATAAAAAAGAAATTTGATTAGGTTTCCTTTATGAAATCCAACGGAATATTTTTCAATATTTAAAATGGAAAATTGAGTATGACACAGAAATAGCACAATTGAAAAATATTTAATAATCCACGCTGCGCAAAACCAACGGAAAATACAGAAATACTATATTTTTTGAACTTAAGTCAATAGTGACTCGTATATCTAGATGTGAAACCACGTATTAGGCTAAGGTTTTAAGAAAGTTAAAGAACTAGCGCTGCACTACGCTTTGAAAATATGTAGTATATCTTCGAGCAAAAGTTTTCGTTTTTTTTTTTTTTCGAATATCAAAACTTTTCTAAATACATACAATCAGCCTATAAAATATCTTCTTCTTCAAAACAAAAAATATGAATTGTTTATCGACCAC